CCCAACCTTTGGGTTAGGAGTCCGACTCTCTAACCATTAGGCCACGACTTCCCCCCAACTTCCACGACTTCTGTATATGAATGTGCATGTCCTAACTGACATTAGAGCTTTTCATGAGGAATCCTGAACTGATACTGTGCATCCCATATTTTTCATTCATTCTCTTCGATTTCCCTGACTACTCAGCTCTTTGAGCGACATCTAACTCTCCCCCTGCCCTCTCCCAGGAAATATCCTCCTCCCTCTAGTTTACAGCTGTTGCCCCATGTGCCCTCGGCTGGACAGGTAACAGCCCCTGCTGCAAGCTAGTGTGGACAGCTGTCGTACACTCATGCATGCACATGAATCTTAGTTCACCCCAAAATGTGTCCCTCTAAAATGTTAGACATGCACCTATGTCTACAAAAAACCTCACTGCACTCAAACTAAAGACCAAAGATGCTCTTAGGCACAAAAAACAAAACAAAACAAAAAGATATTCCCACATCACAGTGAGCACGAACACAACTACACAATCACCACCTACTGTACACAGTGCGTGAGTGTGCACTTGCCAGTGCATGTCTGTTTTGTGTTGAAATGCCAAATTTCCAGTTTCCTCCACTGAAGCTAAAAGTGGTTTGATATTGTAACGTGGTAGCACTTGCCCAGATTTTTTAATTTAGCTGTTTTTAAATTTTTAAATGATCTTTAAAGGAATAGTTCATCTAAAAATGAATGTTCTATCATCATTTACTTACCCTCATATCGTTCCAAACCCATATGACTTTCTTATGTTGAACAAAGAAAGAGAAATTTTGTTTTACTATGCTCTTTTACATGAAGCAATATGATTGGAGCCTGAAACTTTCAACATTCAAAAAGTATGCAAAAGTTTTAAAGGTATCGTAAAAGTAGTCCATACTCCATATTCCAAGTCTTCTAATTCCATAATATTTTTAATACTAAAAGTAACAATAATTTAGGTTTATGAGAGAAATAGCTGATTTGTGATTCTTTTTAATTGGATATTTTGAATCTGTTTCACAAAACTAGTCTGAATGATTAGTTCACGATTTGTTCGTGTTCTCGAGTTCAACTGACTCAACGATTCAGTCGTAACAGTCAACAGCTCAAATAGAGGGTAAGATCATGAGTGAATAACGATGTAGATTTTAGTCAGTTCCTCACAAAACAAGACTAGCATGAGTCAAATTGACTATTTTGGACTATTTTTAGAGTTCTTGTGCATTTGTTGAATTCAGACATGAAAAAGATTGAATAAATGCAAGTAAACGAGGACTGAATGATTTTTGAGTGATTTGTGAGAACTATTCCTAGGTGAATGTGTTTGAATATTTATGTTTTTTTATTTATTTAGTTACATTTTGTATTTGTATGTGTGCTATACTACATATGTGCCAGCAGCTGATCACATATAAGCGTGGTGATGATCACTCCAATGATTTTACAGAGAAACCTCTGGTTAGTTCTTTTTAGCCACCTTTACATTAACCTTACAACTTCATACATTTATACATTAATTATGCAAATTTCTCCTGCTACATTGCAGATGCAGCACGGGATGTCCTCCACTCCAGTTCCCCAGATAGTCTTAACTGAGTGTAACTCTCTCCCCACATCCCCTTCTGAGGACTCAGCAGAGATCCGGCCGTCTGACAGCATGCAGACAATTAAAGACAATAACACTGGAAATGACATCAGAGTAAGTTACTTCAGCCACATTGTGAGGACTCCCCATCTGTCGCTATGGAAACAAGACTTGTCAGCCAGCCAAAAAGTCACTCGGATACAAGACTTGGATGCAGCCCAGAGGGAGCTCCAGAGCCCTGTCCAGGATGTGACCCAGTCGTGCCCGCCTTTAACAAGCAAGAGAGCAATTAAACAGCCCCTGAGGAGGGAGCCAAGGGTTCAGGAGTCTCTCGAGGCGGCGACAGAAACGAAAGAAGAGCGAATGAGAAAGTCAGACACTACAATGTCTGTCTCGCCGCAAAAAGGGCCTGTAGAGACATCTCAAGTGGGTTTGAGCCGCACTCAAGGTGTTGGAGGGGAAAAGGAAGACATCTGCCACAGCACATACCGTCGTCTGGACAGTCTGGAGGAGACCATCCGTGAGCTGGAGCTCAGCCTGATGGAGTTCAGCACTGATCCTCACATGGGGAACATCTTCCCAGCATCCATCCAGGCGCAGAGTTCCTCCACCAAGAGATCTGGCAGCACTCGACATACAGCACAGACCCCTGCAGACGGAGGAGACACAAACAAACCTGCTGTCCCACCCAAACCATCCTGCATCAGCACATCCACAGCAAAGGTTCAACCTAACCTTCAGTATCTTCTTCAGCCCTGGTCTTTCTGTCTTTTCCATCTTCTTTCTTCCTGTCTGGTGGAAGGCTTTTGGTCTCTTACGCTGGGTTGCTCAACTAGATCAGTTTGTTCTCTTTTGCAAATGCTTTGATAAATTGTTTGCCTCCAGCCTCTGTAGAAATACATATTGTATCTTTCGCACAATAAATTATCTTGTTTCCTCCTCTTCTTTATTAGCCTGCTACTTTTTTTCTCCTCTTAAAATGACTTTGCAATTTGATTACTTATTTTCCTCTGGTACATAAGACATTATATGTGGTTTTCTTGTAAAATAAAAAGATAAAGCCCAGGGAAGCTCTTCGTAACTACTCAAGTGATTTTGTTGTGTAATTTATGTGGTATTGACTCCTCGCATTTGTCTTTCGTCTTCGGAGAGTAGTTGTCAGGATAAACCGCTACGAAGCAGCACCAGATGCCATGTGTATTACTCAACTCCGCTGAGAACAGGGCTGATCTCCATGAGTGACAGAAGGGAAGGATTTGGATGAAGTCACTTGTGTTTTCTAGTGCGTTGCTTTCAGCCCACACATTTGTATACAAGCCAGCATTGCATCATCCCTCCTAACTGTTGAGTTCAAGCCCCTTGCTCTAGGTCGTTGCACGCTGTTTTCATAGGACAGATGGAGCCTGGCAACCGCAGGTCCACCTGATTGCATGCATTAGATCCTCTTACAAAACCCCTCGTTCAGTGAGGTGCTCATTTGCATAAAACACACAGCTAATGGGCCTTTTCAACTTTAAAAGGTCTGTTGGCTGGTTGTGACTCTAGAGTTTAGTCAAGTGCTTGATCTTGTGTAGGTAATATATGCAGAGAGAGAAAAGACTATTTTGTATTTCACAGAGATTTTGTCAACTTTGTGCAGAGCCGTATAATTGATATTTTCTGAATTTGATACAAGAAATTATAGGTAATATGTGTCTGTGTGTGTGTGCTGAGATGCATGTGTTCTATTAAAAACACATCACCCTTCTGCCTGTCTTGCACACTATTCTCCTCCAGCACTTCCTTTGACTGCCGGCGATGGCAAATACACTGTTGGAAACTGGATGAAAAATATGACCAAATATAGTGCATAGATTCATCTCTTCTTCTCTCTCATCCTTCTCAGACTGGTGGTAGAAAAGTGTTGTCTCGTCTCAAGCACCTGCAGCAAAGTGGATCAGAAAAGAGCAAAACAAGCAAACAGAGAGAGGACTTCCTTAAGAACCAGGGTCAACAGCAGGTATGATCTGTCTGTCTTTCTGTCTGTCTGTTGTTCTATATATCAGTTGTTCTATCATTCCATGGTTTTATCTATCGTTCTGTGGTTCTATCTATGGTTCTATCATCCAGTGTATTGTTCTATCGTTCCATCATTCTATCTACTGTCTAGGCCTCTACCTTCTGTCTAGGCCTAGTGTAATCTCAGTCTAGTTTTGGTCTATCTTTAATCTTTGTTTTGATCTTGGCTTTGGTTAATTTTTAGTTTGGTCTAAAAATGTAATGTGGTTTTAGTCTTGTATTTAGTCTTAGTTATAGTTTTGGTCTAGTCTTACTCTAGCCTAATTGCTAATTTTAGGCTTAGCCTGGTCCAGTTTAGTCTTAGTCTAACTGTAGTAGGGATGCACCGATACTGGTATCGGTATCGGGCCCGATACTGGTCTCCTGTACTCGTACTCATACTCGTTAAAATGCCCCGATACCAAATGCCGATACCACACAGCATGTGATAAGCGCCATATTCAAACAAAGAAACACCGACAACAGAACAACAGACAGCAGAAAGGAGTTAAGGATGTCTACTACGAAGTATATGTATGCAATGAATATAATGTTAAACATTCAGTATTAACGCCTGTATA